GTGTGTGTGTGTGTGTGTGTGTGTGTGTGTGTGTGTTGAGTGACTGGTCCGTACTTTAAATCTACTAGGTGGCTTTATTGAATACTCAGCAACCAAACAGAACATGTACAAGAAAACCGGGGGGGCTAGTACGTAACACCGAGCAGTAACCTTGTGCGCATGCGTGTGTCTAACGAGGTTTAAACAGAACACCAGAATGGGCTACATCCTCCCCTTTTAGTTAGTGCTTCTAGAAGGAAACAAACACACTGTGGTTACACATTAACATACAAATGATGGCTAACATGGCTGCTTTAACTGGAGGTATTTCTGTAACCAATGAAAACCAGCAGTAGTTTCAATAACAATCTGGAAACAAACTCAACCAGTCAATACATTCATATTGTAGAATGTTCACTTCCTGTATGAATAACATGACAACAAACATAAAGTGGATCAAATACATCAAGGGTAGCTGTGAACATTTCAATTAGAGAATGACGGAGTGCAAAAGTCTTTTCTTACATGAACACAACAGTTACACATAAGAGTCCCATAGAGTTCAATGTACTCCCCTGTCTCTCTTTTGAAGACAGTCTCTGGTCTGTGGGCTTTTAATACCCAGAGTTCATTGTCCATTCTTTGGGTTTGGCTTTCAAATTTGACCTGCTCGTGTCACATATGGTGTGCCAGTGTGTGTTACCATTGCAGAAGGACAATATGCAGGTCTCTGCTGCTCGCTGGTAGAGTCCTGAAGAATTACCTGAGATGGTTTGCGGTGTCTGCAGCATCTGCAGTGTGGAAGGGGAAATGTCTGGCACAGCTGGGTCAACTGCCTGCTGAGCAGAGTCTGCAGTGTCGACCTGTGGTGGTGGCTCAGCAACCGGAAGGATGTGGCGGCGATTTCTCCTGTAGATACCCCCATCAGATTGGATGATGTGGGAGCGTGGTCCTTTGCAAGCTTCCTTCACGATGCCCAGGCGGTTGTGTCCCTTGGTTGTCTGCATCCTCATGACCTGTCCTTCTGCCAGTGGCTGTAGCGGGCGACTTGAGGCATCATAGTACTGCTTTTTGATGAGTCTTTTCTTTTGGAGCTGGGCAGTGACCCGCTTTTTGTTCTTTGGGGCTGGCGCTAGTAGTCTGTTGCTGACAAGAAGAGTTGAACGTGTCTGTTGTGACATCAGACGCTCCGCAGGTGAGCCCAGCGTTTCATTGCGGGGATGTTCCTGATATTCAGCAGGTTAAGGAAAACATCAGTCCTGTCTCGATGAGACTGCTCCATCAGTTGTTTGGCGCTGCGGACTGCCCGTTCAGCTAGTCCATTTGACTGTGGGTACTCAGGGCTGCTGGTGACATGAACAAAGTCCCACTGCTCTGCAAATTCCTTGAAGTGCTGGCTTGTGTAATATCTTGCATTATCAGTGATAAGGGTGTGAGGTGATCCATGAACGGAGAAGTGTTGCTTGAGCTTTGTGATCACAGCTGCTGAAGATGCATTGCAAGGGAGGTTGATTTCAAACCACCCTGAGTATGAGTCTACCAGCATCATATATTGTTGTCCAAGCCACTCGAACACATCAGTAGCAACTGTGGACCAGGGCAAAACTGGAACTGGGTGTGGCTGTAGGGGTTCTTTCTGTTGGTGTGCTCGGGTGCTATTGCAGACTGAGCATGATAGGAGCTTCTCTGTGATGTCTCTGTTCATTGTTGGCCAAATGATCCTAGCCCTGCACTTGGTTGACTCCAAGCCTGGGTGACCTCTGTGCATGATATTGATGTATTCTCGTTGCAGGGAGTGTGAAATGACAGTTCTGTGACCCTTATCAACAATGCCATCCTCCATTGCTAGCTCGTGTCTGTAGTGGAAGAAAGGACGAATAGGGATGGAAAGCTGGTGCTCTTTGTCAGGCCAACCATGTTGAATGACAGTACTGAGAGTCTGTAAGACTTGGTCTTGTGCTGTGTGGGCCCGTAGCTCCTCTAGCCTGGCAGTTGAAATGTAGCTGACAGACATTACTTCAAATGTGTCATTTGTAACTGATGCTTGGGAAGCACTCATGTCTGGGGACTGTGACAGCTAGGGTGTCGACTAGGTACATGTGCTTACCCTTCTTAAAACCAGTGTGATGTCACAGGCTTGTAACTGCAGCCGCATTCTTTGAAGGCGGGCAGGAGCTGTGTGGATGGGCTTCTTTAAGATTGTGACGAGAGGTTGGTGGTCAGTTTCGATGACCGTTGCCTTCCCATAGATATAGTCTCTGAACTTTGTGCATGCAAACACTACAGCCAACAGCTCCTTCTCAATCTGAGCATAACAGACCCCCGACAATGATGTAATCCACTAAGATGGTGCATGGATATCCTGCAAACAGCTGTTCCATTGAGCATTGGAAGACTTCACTTGTTGAACTTATGCCAAATGGCATGCAGAGGGATCGGTAGCGACCAAAGGGTGTGCTGAATGTGGTAAGCATGGATGACTCGTGAACTCGTGTTTATCTGCCAGAATGAGCTCTTTGCATCAAGCACTGAGAACGGTGCTGCACCTGACATTTGGTTGGCAACTTCTTCTACGCTGTGCATCAGGTGGTGGGGTCTCTTTAAGGCAGTGTTCAGATCTTTAGGGTTAATGCAGAATCTTATTTCCTGTTTGTCCTTTTTTCTGTGTGTGACGACCATGGACGAAACCCAGTCTGTAGGCTCGGACACTGTGGTTATGACACCTCTGCGTGTCATGCTGTCAAGCTCTGCTTTGACTCGTGCTTGAATCGCCAAGGGGTTGCGGTGTGCTGGACGGACAACAGGCTGTACAGCCGGATGCAGGGTCATGGATGGGTATGTTCTCCAAGCTCATCACTGAACATGTCTTGTTACTGGTTAAAAAGGTCTTTGGTGAAGTCAACATTGGTTTCTGTGCTGATCTGGTGAACGTGTGGACTCAATGTGACCAAGTCCCAGGTGCACACATGCACGAAATCCCAGCAGTGGTACCACATCACACTCCACTAGATAAAAAGGAAGCATGTGTTGCTGTCCATTAGACAACAAGGGAAGGTGTGACTAAACCAGCAGTCTGTATTCTGCTGCCTCCATAAGCCACTGGGTTGGTGGTTTTGCTGCATTTCACTATTTGGCCCTTTGAGAGTTGATTGAGTGCCTTTTGATATTACATTGCATCTTGCTCCCGTGTCAACTTTCATCTCGATGGGCTTGTTGTATACTTGCAATGAAACAAATCCTTCATCTCGTTCCTCTGCCCGAGGATTGACAGTGTCCACACACACATCAATTAACTCCACGCCATCCACATAGAAAGTGTCATCAGCTGCACTGTATTCTGGCTCTTCTAGATCTAACTGGTGCACTGACTGCTTGTATTGGTTTCTCTTTACATAGCTATTCATTTCATGACTTTGACCATGTGGGGTGGAATTGCAGCATTTCTTGTAATGATTCCATTTCTTGTAGTTATGGCATTGCTGGCCAAATGCAGGACATTTATCTCTCTGTGCGACATGGCTGTTTCCACAATTGCCGCAATTTGCAATAATTGCTTGGGGTCTGTGTATTGTCTTTTTATATTCCCGATTGGAGCCTGGTTGAACTGTCTGTTTCCTGGTCGGCCTTAGTGTTCTCCTCAGTCATCTCATATATTCAGCAGATTGAAATGGCTTTAGATAAGGTTAATTCACTGTAACGTAGCAAAGTCTTTCTTATACTGTCATTACTGATCCCACACACTATCCTGTCACAAACCAGTTCATCTGTCAGGTCTCCAAAATGACAATTCTTTGCCTTAATCTTCAAGTCACTGATGAAATATTCTATTGTCTCACCTTGCTTCTGGTTTCGTGAGTGGAACTTGTGTCACTCCACGGTTTTGTTGTTTTGAGGGTTGCATATTTCCCAGAATTTCCATTTCAAGCACTCTGGGTCCTCTCTGGACTCAGCTTGACCAGTAATGAGTGACTGGTCCGCACTTTAAATCTACTAGGTGGCTTTACTGAATACTCCAACCACACAGAACATGTACAAGAAAACCGGGGGGGCTAGTACGTAACACCGAACAGTAACCTTCTACGCATGCGTGTGTCTGATGAGGTTCATACAGAACACCAGCATGGGCTAGTTACCATGGTGATGATGCTTCTCTGAGGTGCAGGCTTCAGTCCCACTGATCTCAGAGCTGTGACAAAGAGCCAACTGATTAGTTCTTCACTGAGGAAGTGAGAGAACAAAGTGTCTCAGATCAGATGAAGGCGACACCGTCTCTGTTCATCATGTGAGGCTGTCAGCTGTGGTCCAGCTTCATTTCCTGTTCAGATGGAACCAACAACTGTTGTCTTCACATCAACTCAATCAAATGATCACAACCTGCTTCTGGCTCGTCTGATTGGCCGACTGTTGTCTCTCTGTGTTTCTGTCCAATCTTGAAGTCTGTCATCGTTGTCCTCTCACAGCTTCACTGAGGAAACACTGAGGCCTGAACTATGAAGCCACTTCAACATGTCCACACAACAGTGTAGTTACTTTGCTCAGTGGGCGGAGCTTTTAAACAGGTTGATCTCCTACTTCCCCTGCTCCGGAGCATGTTAGCCGTTCATCATCAGTTACCATGGCTATTTACCCCGATAAGAAGTGAACGAGCTTCGTAYGACTGAAAAAACTAAACCTGAAGTTAACCTGATAACCACGAATCCTGCTTCTGGTACAGACCCTGGATCTTTACTGTGATACTGACTGTGTTTAGTAAAATACTGATGAAAGCAGCGTGGACTGACTCCAACCATCTACTGACCTCAGAGTCTTCAGTCGACAGGTTGGACTCTGTAGAAGACCACACAGCTCCTTCACTCCTGAGTCCTGCAGGTTGTTTCTACTCATATCCAGTTTTTTCAGATGAGAGGGGTTTGACCTCAGAGCTGAAGCCAGAGAAGAACAGCTGATCTCTGACAGACTGCAGTCCTTCAAACTAAAGAAAGAATAAAATGAATCTGAGTTGATGTGTGAAAAAACAGATATTCATGTCAGCACAGACTTATAACATGGAAGATAAATATGAAATCAGACATGTTGGACTAAAGACATCCTGATTCAGTAACAATATATTATTTGGACCCGGTCTCTGTCCTGCAGATCAGTTTATGAAATCCAGAGCTAAACACAGATGAGTTTTAACAAGTAGCTGAAAATTTAAATTGTCACAGATGAATGAATGGATTCCAGTTATGTATGAAGAGGAATTATGTTAAATTAGAATTAAATGAGATAAACTGTGTATAAATGTCGTGTTATAGATATGAGATCTGCAAATGTCAGTCAGTGAACTGACCACAGAGTCTCCAGTCGACAGGTTGAACTCTGGAGAAAACCACACAGCTCCTTCACTCCTGAGTCCTGTAGCTCGTTGTCACTCAGATCCAGTTTTCTCAGATAAGAGGGGTTTGACCTCAGAGCTGAAGCCAGAGAAGAACAGCTGGTATCTGACAGATTGCAGTGATCCAACCTGAAGAAAGAATAAAACTTAACTGTAAATGAATCTGAGTTCATGTGTGAAAATAACAGATATTCATGTCAGCACAGACTCATAACATGGAAGATAAATATGAAATCAGACGAATCCTGATTCAGTAACAATATATTATTTGGACACGGAGACTCAACCTGGATAAAGAAATGTGAATATTTGAATGTGTCCTCCTGTTATTGTGGATCATCATCATGTCAACACAGACTCTCAACATGCTGCTGACCTCAGTTCAGTCTGTGACCTGAAGATAAATATCACATCAGACATGTTGGACCATTGTTTCATTCATCACCTTCTTCTCTGTGTGTTTGGTCACTGAGTAGGTTTGMGTCATTAAACACTGTTTAAAGTAGAGACGGCTCCTGACAGTCACTTCCTGTTTGGTTCTATACTCATCAACTGTCCAACGTGCTTCAATAAGAACATGTCTTATTATTGAGAACCTGAGGAGGACGAGTGCTTGGTCTCTGTCCACATGTTATTCACTGACACTTTATGAATGGAGTGGGACTGATGAGGTGGACGTGACTGACAGGCTGGGTGAGTGACAGATGACTGAGGGACGGTGAGCAGAGCAGAACTGAGTCAATTCAATTTCAATAAATGACCAAATAAGAAAGAAGGTTAGAAAAGTGAACATTCAAGGATTTAAGGACCTYACCTCAGAGTCTCCAGTCGACAGTTTGGACTCTCCAGTCCAGCACACAGCAGCTTCACTTCAGAGTCCTGCAGGTCGTTGTATCTCAGATCCAGTTCTCTCAGATGTGAGGGGTCTGACTTCAGAGCTGAGGCCACGACTTCATAGTGAGTCTCTGAGAGTCCACAACCACCAAGTCTGTAAGTAAAGAAAATATCAAATGTGTTAGAATAAAATCAGAAAACACAACATTCATACAAKACGTGATCATGTGACCCTCACCCTGGTAAATCCACTTTTTGCCTCTTGAACATTTGATCTTAAAAACACCTCAAGAGAATCCTTTCAGATCTGGTACAAGCGTTCATTCAGACTAACAGATGACCTCATTAGATTCAGGTGGTCAAAGGTCAGAGGTCAAGGACTTGAACATGACGTGTCAAGTCTGTCTTCAGAGAACTTCTTCACATTTTGACCAGTTGGACTCAAAGATAAACTGATTAGAATTCAGTGGTCGAAGGTCAAAGGTTACAGTGACCTCATATTATTGTGAATGCAACATGTCAGTAACCTGCATGGACTGACTCTGCACTGGTTGGTGGTGGTACACAAACACAGGATGATAATTCTAGTTTGAGGAAAGAATAAACTGTTCATTTTTGAACTAAGTTCACGTTCATTTGTTCCGTTTTTATTGGGATGATTCAGATGACAGTTTTTAATCGATGGGGTCGGATCATGAATCCAGATCTTKACTTTAACACGGAGTCCTGCAGTTCGCGGTCTTTACTGAGCACAAAATGTTGTTTAAAAATGTTTAAATGTAGCCTCAGAAACTCTGGAGTGAATCAAAC